AAATGGCTTTCGTCGTATCCGAACCGAGATAAGACTTCGGGGCCGGTTCTTATGCATGGCATTCCCGGGATATTGACGCAATTGATCGTAGAAATAGTATTCCACTGTAGTATAGAGATTGACTCGGTTCCATAGTAAAATCCGGATATATATCTCAGCCAGGAGAAGTAAGGGGAAGCGCTTCCCAGGTTGAGATAGATGCCGGAAAACATAATGCCTATGAGCTCATGAGGCACGGATATTAAAGCGGCCGTCTCCAGGCTGTCGAAGGTGGCTGATAGGAATGAACCTGGAATTAATGTTAGTATTAGTTATGATTAAAAAAGTTTAAGAATTAGTCTAGTAAATTACATTATTTAAATTGGAATACGATAAATCGGCTAGAATGTAACCATGGTTATAGATCACTGCTACGCGGTAATTGTTCAGTGAACCTGTGATATCTATAAGTATTAAGTTAATCTGTGCTCATTTAGTAAACAATGCTTGACATGGACTTTTTTTGTGTAATAACGGTGGTTTATTAACCGTTTAATATCTGTGAAAGTGCACAAATGTGGGAAAATGAAACAAAGTTGCTGAACGTAACGTCTCGGGATCTTCCAAAAAGTCCATTGAAAAAGACTCAATAAATGACCAACATTTTACTGAGATTATACTTCATCCCATATCATCTCATTTCATTTCGTTTCATTTTCATTTCATTTCATGCCATGTTTCATAATAATCAAAAAAATATAAATATTATATATATATATATATATAAATAATAAATATATAAATATAATAAAAATATAAATATTTCATATAAAAAAGTTATCATTAAAACTAAAATAAGACTTGACCTAAAGGTCTTAGTTACCAGGTCATAAAATCCCTTAAAAAAAATCGGCTTTAGAGCGTGTTTAAAGTCCGCGTTGGTCTTTACTACTGTTCTTCCTTGTTTTGCTTTGAAGTAACAGGGTTTGAATAACATGACGACCGTTCGGTTCACTCGAGTTTTCAACCAAATGCCAGCGGAAACTCTGTAATGTATATGGCTCTCGAAAGATATTAAAAGCCCCCTAAGAACCTTGGGATCGATTAATGATAGATATAATCATCCTTTTTTTTATGATTGAAGGATTACTGGTGGCCCGGAGGCCTTTCCAGTTTCACCAGGCCACGTGGGCGGGCAAAGGCTCACCCAGGAGGGCCCGAGCGCCCGAGCACCTCCGAAGGCGAGAAACTCAGCGGGCTGATGCATGGGTTAGGTTTCACGTCGAACTCTTTGCCGAGTTCAACGAGTACGGTTGCCGGGGTCTCTTAGCCTACTCTCAGTGTTAGAGCTGAAGGCATCAAATGCAAGAGTTATTGGATCTGATGGATCCGTAAGGACGTGTCTAGGGCGACGACGGTGACTGGCTCTTGCATGATCAGGCTTCGGGGAGTAGTCAGCGGCGGCAACGATAAGGCGATTATCATGACGCATAGCCTTATCGAAGTAACGTTCCGACGCTGACTTCATATGTTTGCGAATCGATTCGAGGCCCAGTTAAGATGAGCTATTTGATCTAGAACCGAAAATCAATGTGGTGGGTTTATTGCTAGCGTCACCATAGGATTCAACAAGCGTTTTTAAGCTGTGTATAATACTATCCTTTGACTAATATTCAGGTCACCGGCGCACTTAAGTATTAAAATTATGTCCATTTCTGTTACTAAGCACACGGATTGCCAAACCTTGCCTTGTTTTGTTTATTAAAGTATGTTTTAGTCTTTTAGGCCTCTTAGAAATAGATTAATTGCATGCATCTTCGGATTCGTCTTTCCGAAAGTCTACGAGTTAGGTAATTATGGACTTATAAGATGGTTGCACGAAGTTTACGTTTTTTGAACGCAATATAAACAATAGTTAAAATAAAGTATTGTTTAGTTTGCATTGAACATTGATATATCGAGAGAAATTGATATTTTTCCAGGAATACATAATCTTCCAAATTTTACCGCGAAAACCTGCCTCAATGTGTAATTTCAGCAACCTGTCGTCATGTGTCAAATTAAATATTTTAGGAACTATCGTTTATTTTGAACTTGCCCTCCTTTTTTAAAAGTATTCTGGCCTAGAGGATAATATTTCCGGTGCATTCGTATCTAGCGATACAACGGTTTTCGAATCACGCGGGCAGGTACCAATTTTTCTAATGAAATACGTACTCAACAATTGTTCACGATTTACTTCCACGGTGAGGGAATAATATCGTGTAATAAAAATCAAACCCGCGAAATTATAATTTGCGTAATTACTGGTGGTACGACCTCTTGTGAGTCCGCGCGTGTAGGTACCACCGCCCCGCCTATTTCTGCTGTGAAGCAGTAATGCGTTTCGGTTTGAAGGGTGGGGCAGCCGTTGTAACTATACTGAGACCTGAGAACTTATATCTCAAAGTGGGGGCGTATTTACGTTGTAGTTGTCTATGGGCTCCAGTAACCACTTAACACCAGGTGGGCTGTGAGCTCGTCCACCCATCTAAGCATATTTTTTTTAAGTAATGTTTTAATTTGACTGCAACTTTATTTCATTTAAGTCTGGTAAATCATATTGTATTGAAATGGATTAAACTCTATTCAGCAAACAGTTGCTACTACACGAAACTAATGTAGCAGCAGTTTTATACCTCTGAAAACATAAAGTGCATACGACAAAACCTATTTTTCATTCAAAACAATTTATTACTAAAAAACATGTTTTTTTTTAAGAATGGTTTTGCTTCTCATTCAGAGAAGCACTTAATTGCACAGAGAAGTGGAATAAATCATTGTCAGACAATTTTTACTAAAATGTTGTTGATTTTAAGAAAATTTAAAATTTAAACGAATTAATAAATTATACATTAAGTTCCTCCTATCGTAAATTTTCTGAAATAGTTTTATATTTCAACTGTTTATAAATATATTGTTTAATATATTTATAAATATATTAAACAGGTAACACAATTCTGTGTGAATTTAAACTTGAATAACACAAACCCGACAAAACATCTGTTATCAAAACTATGATAAAAAATTCTCACAAATTGTAATTTATTAACAAATAGTTACAAGAGTATTTTGGAGAAAGTTCACTATTGGTCGTAATTTCTAACCATTAGATGAGTTAACAACCAATAAAAAAAACAGTTAACAATCAAAGAAAAATAGATTTTATCTATTTAGTCTTTGTCTTTTTATGATCAAATTATTATTACTAGAGGTCCCGCAGTAGTCGAAATTCGACTATAATTAATTGGAATTGTAAGTTTGTACACTATTATGATTGTATTTTGTACTTCTATAATCACAAAGTTTGCCAAGGCTATAAAAAAATATTATTATAGACAAACAATATTTAATCTATGCTCAATTTGACCACAGACGTCAAGAACAAAAGTTTGACAATAAATAGTATGCATGCGTGTGTGCGTCAAATACATGATATGTAGTGTGTGTAATGTTTTCTTTATTGATTTAATAAATTTTTTATGTATTATTTTAAAAAAATATTAGCATTGTGCACTCTTATCTATATTCTCTATAAATGTGGAAAATTTCATACTCCTTCGTCCGCGCAATTTTCGTAAAAAGGGATAAAAAGTTTTTGCTTTACGTATAATATTATTATTATTACACAGAACGGTCACAAAGAACTGTCTATGCATTAGAAGCAGTTCTATTTCGAAGCTTAGGAATAGAAGTCTGACGATATATTTAATGATACTTACCCTTCAACCTATGTTAGCTAATTCATCTAATTTGCGATGTTGTTTCAGAGCTTGACCGTTACCCAAACATTGTAAGAACTTTATGGGCCAAAAATACCTAGCACATATTAAAAAAAACATGTTCCGTGTGAGTATGTACTAATATGAGATCTTAATCGTGATTGATCATGAATCCACATATCGTGCTACAATACATAGCTGTATAGTCGTTTTCACAATGACATTATTAACCTATATAAACAGGCCCTCAATTACGCGCGAATATTTTTCAAATCATCGTAATTATTATATAATATAACAATCGTTGTGTAATAAGTATAATTTAACCTCGACGCGGCCAATTATGGAAAAGTTTGGCGCTCTGTTCTCAGCCCAGTTGGGTTATTCAACTCGATTTAAGTCAGTTATGGTCAAGGTAACAAAATAGAAGCTTTAGTTAAACATAACTATGTATGTGATGTCTAAAAACAAGAGTAACACCAAGTGACGTTACCTTGGTTACTTGACTAGTACAATTAAAATAGCTCAATCAAATGGTTATTTGAACTTGTGCGTGCGCTTGTGTGTGTGTGTGTGTGTGTGTGTGTGTGCACGCGCGCGTGCGTGTGTATGTATACGAGTGTGTTTCTTTTCGTAATCTATATAGTTAGACACATTCCTTTCACCTGCAACATAATATACAGGAATCTGTACTAACCGTTCAGAAACTTACAATAAGTTAGGAAGCGGGTAAAAGGAGAATATTGTTAAATACACCTATATCTTTTTTTTTTTTTAATTAATTTATGGCATTTTCATGCTACCAGATTATGTACATGCAAAATAAAACAATAATGTAATAAGGCTCACATCAGTGAAATTTATTAATCTAAAATTCTGTTGACGTTTGATTCCAATATGAAATACATAAAACACGTTTTTATCAAAATCAATTCGCAGAGTTGAAATTCGTAACAACGTTTCATACCACGTGTGAAACCAGTCATGATGAGTTTATCAGATCTCTCAATTGCCATTTTCTCACTATCTAAAACTTTCGAGCATCGAAATCACAACCTTATGGCGAAAAGCATTAAAACTAAATGTCTTTTGTCTAAAAGGGGTCTGACTTTATGATTAGAATTCAAAACACCCTGTAGGCATTGAGGTAGCGATGAAAGTCTGGTTATGATATAGAAATATATGAAACTTAAAAATAAAAATAAAAACGCGCAGATATTAGTTAAACCGATTTCGGAAAACAACTTCTCACATCACAATCAGTTTCCGAATGGTATTTTAGGAATAATTTGATATTCAATTAAAACATTACCCATCAGTAAACGGGTGTGCCTCTACTTCTTTTTATCACCATAATAAAAGCTACAAAATGCGCTACACAATACATCGTCGCTAAACAACAACAGTTCCTCCAGAAATGAGATTCGGAGTAGCCGTATCTGTTCAAAACGTCAGGACCGGTTTTGATGCAAGGTATCCCCGGGAGTTTGACGCAGTCGATGGACTCTATGGAATCCCATTGGAGGATGGATATGGATTCGATGCCATAGTAAAAGGCTGAAACAAAACGAAGCCACGAGAAATACGGGGAGACACTTCCAAGGTTGAGGTATAATCCAGAGAACATTGTCCCGATGAGGTCGAATGGCACGGATACCAGTGCAGCGGTTTCCATTTTGTCGAAGACAGACGACAAAAAAGATCCTGAAATACAAATGTTTATAAAAATTTTTAGCTAAAATACAATATTAACATTAAATGTTGCTGTGGAAATCGAAGCTTAACATGCCATGATAGGAGATGACTCAGTAGAAGAAGTCAGTATTAAAATCAGAACAATTAATATTCTTATCATTAAAAACCATGCAAAGAAGGAAAGAAATAAAAAAGATCGACTTACCCCTTAACCACAAAAAATATGGACGCGACGATGAAGAGAAAGAAAGAACTTTGATGAAACTTAATTGATGAAACTGAACCGCACTATAACCCAAACCCGCCCCATGAAGCCGATGATAAAGCTCGGATTGGTAATATACCATTTAGAAATGAATCCAACCAATCAATCCATAGATGCAAATATAAGAAATTTACCGCTTAGTAAAATTTAAATCCAATTATTCAGTAATCTAATAAATTCACTTGTATTTTGAATTGAATCTACAGTATGATTGGTTAGTAACAATGATCATCTTACCGTATGCATTAGCGTAGTTAGCACAAAGAACACAGACGAAACAGAATCCTAGCCAGCCGACGAAACCGCCACGAAGCTCCGCCACAATAAATATGAGGGAACCGAACAGAACGGGCTCAATAACAGCGCGAGGTATCTGGAAAAAAATTAGGCATACATTGAAAACAGGCTGAATGTGAATAATTCCAATCAACATATCAAAACAAGTTTATGATTTATGAGTATTGGTAGGAATTAAAACAATTTATTAGAAGATATATCAATATCAACCCAATTAAAATACTGCCTACGGTTGTTGATTAAAACCCATTTTAACCAATTAGATGACTAACAGAATACTTGAAAAATTTTAAACTGGACAGAGATTTTTTATATTTGTGTTTTTGTGCCTTTTCAGGTTTCTAACAGTCCGATAAATCTGACAATTTGATGATGACTAGGTCATTGGTTGGATGCATGGAAGTCTGCAATGTCAGAGTCATAGCTAAGCCTCCAACCTCAGAATAGGACGAACGATAATCGATTTGTCTGGCGGATAGATGTTAGTTTAACGTCCTTAATTTTTTACGTAATTGTTGCAGAGATTAAACTTTATGAGGTTTTAGGGTGTAATTGTTACTATTAAATCCTATTTTTTGTTAATCGAAACGATTTAATTAATTTTTATTGATACAATCGATTTTTTACAGTCTAAGAAAATTAATATCACATTAATCAACAAAAATATTGTCATTATTATTCACAAAATATCAAATTATTCACTTAAAACTTGTATACCTATTTTATTGCCAACCTATGTTAGTTATCTATGTTAGCTTCCCCGGACGTATAAGGAGCTCATGGGGCTTAGCCTGGATACTATTCTAACACTAGCTTAAGTCTAGTGACATACTGTACGGATCATATCTAGATACTTGATATTGGTTTTGATAATCCCAAGATCTTATGCTATCAATACCAACGAAAATTAACATGTTTGACAAACTTACCCAAAATATCATCTTCGATAAGTAGTATGGCAGCGGTGAATACAATCCACTGGCAGTCTCTCTCAGTAGTATGGGAACCTCACTGGGGAACGTGATGAAAACGGCGTAGATGAACAAGAATATCGTCTCTGTGATGGTTAGGTACAGCAAGCCTTCCACGTTCTGAATGTCACGTTGATCAAGCTCTTTGAAGTGTCCGATGTAGGGGAAGGAAATTATGAAGCCGACAAACTGCAGAAAACAGATTATTTTAATTGCCAAATAAATATTTCCATCTTTTTCATTAATAGGTAGTAAAGTTTCGGAGCTTATGGTTTATTGAAATAAGGTTTCGAAGTCTCAGCTGCAATGATAAAGTAGAATGTTGATGTTATTAACACCATTCAAACCAGGGCCCATTTATTTGGTTGCATTTTAAAATATCTTCAAATTCTACTTATCGTAAACTAATATGAATGTTTACTCTATTGAAAGCTTCTCTAAATTTAATAAACGAATTAGAAAATACGTCCTTTTTCCATCGCTTCACTTGTATTGAAATTTCATAGAGATGATATCAGAGTTAACACATAGCTAATAAAAATATTTATCTAAAAATTTACATTCGATACAATAAAGACGAAAGTCGACGAATCTTGATATCTTTCAGGTCTAGTTAATATCTACGATTAATAATTACTACGATTTTCTTCCATTTTCACAAATAGTACGAGTAGATAAGATTAAAACTACTTTCACGGATTAATCACGCTTTTTTTTTTCTTTTCGCCGAACATGACGAACGTCTACCTATACTTACACGAAAACTTAAAGATTATTCGAAACGTTTCTTCAAAAATAAAACGAAAGCAATAAAAACGAGATGAAATCGTTTAAGTAGTCTTAATTTTATGTACAATTTAGTAAGTATTAATAATGTAGTAATAAGTAGTAAGTAGTAATAAGTAGTAAGTAAGTAGTAATAATAATAAAAATGTTTCAAGTACCAACTACAAAACCAAAACAAATTTGACCTTAAATTACGCACGTCAAAGAATACAGAAGGTCAAAACTCCCTTTAAAACCAGTTTTTAACGGTTTTGTATGAAACGGTTATGTAATAGCTTCGATGATCTATAATTTTCAAAGGACAATATCTTGTTAGGCAGGCCTCGCAAGACGCCGGATTTGATCTATTAAATTTGAATAGATTGTGAATCATGTTTTTAAAAATACACTTCGGCTTACGACATATCTTTAAGGCAATGAAGATTTGCTTATATCAAATATCAATAAGCTAAACAAATTATGAGAACTTATCGATTATTTAGTAGCATCAACATAACGGTGCCAAATATATTTTTTTAAGGTTTAATTTGTATTTTTTTCTTCTTTTAATTTAATGTATAGGCGGGTGAACGAATCCACGTCCATCTAGTGGTAAGCGGTTATCGGAAATAAAAAAAATTATATAAATATTTATGATTATGATATTATCTTACCATGAGTAATAAAAACTCTGCTATCCATATTGTACTATTGTGTTTCATCTGCTGAATGTTTCTCCACATCAACCAATAGAATTGGACGAAATAGTTAACTTTGACTCTGCAAGAAACCATCGGGATGTTATCTGTGAACTGTATAATTCCATACGCATCCGCGGAGAGTTTTATCGTATTTATTGGCAACTAATATTTTCCCGTAGTTACACTCACGTGGACTACACTTCGGTTCGGAAAATTGGTTCAGTTTCATAGAGAGATAAACACCTTCTGTTTTTAATATGTGTTTTATATTCTATAACTTTTGTCTAGATACTATTTTTATCCGTACACATAGGTACCGGTATTCCATTTTAATTAGTGATAAGCATTAAATTTATAATCAACATTTTCTGATAGTGCATTTCGAGAACAGGTTTTTTAAATGTTTCATTTTTAACTGATATAAAAACGAATTTGACACACATATAGTAATAGAGACTTGGTGGCATAGAATGTGGAACTTGACGTTGGAAATTTATTTACGGTTCTAATTTTTTTTTTCATAACAAATTCATCTTTTCGCTCGTTCATTGAACTCTTAAGCGAACGGGCCGATTTTGATGATTTTTTTGTGTGTCTGAGTGGGTCCTTGTATGGTGTAGATTGACTATTTGATATTGCGTTTTTGTGGCCCGGCGCGTCACTACTTAATAATGTATAAATCAACTGAATAATATTAGATATTGTTAGCTACTTCGAAATACAACTTTTTTAAACCAAGACCACGGACATAAAGGTCGATATTCAAGCTTTGAAATCTGTCGAAATGAGATTTATTTACTATCAATATTTGAATCTTAGCGATGAAAGATAAGATAGAACCAAAATGTATTATATATTTTATCGAAAATTTATGACCAACGATAACGACTAATATTAATTAGAAGGATTGACATATAAAATGTATTCTATTGATTTATCGAAGTGCAATAAAAAATGACCTTTTTTACTTTTAAATAAAATGAAATATAATTATCGAGAATCTATTGATAGATATTGAAAAGTCTGCGACACTACTGAACAACAAAATATTAAACTTTACATTTTTTTTTATGAACATTATAGTTTTTTGTAATAGAGTGAAGAATTTAGATTGACTAATAGTGGGCGAGCACTCAGCACGCCTACTGATTGACATCAAGAAACAACAAAGTATAAGATATCTTAATTATGGGTCCGATAAAAATTTGTATACTTACAGGGTGAGATATTTCTCGAAATATTCGTTCTGAAATAAATAAAAAACATAACGATAGATATGATGTATTAATAAGTAAAACTTATTAAACGAACGAATACAATGTTTACTTTATATATTTAGATGTTCTTACATTGCTTTTTTCCTACCTATGCTGATAGCCTTGAGAGGCTATTTCAGCTTCGCCCCAACATGTAGGTGAGCTCACGGGGCTCAAACCCGGAGGTGTTGCTAACACTGGCCCTACCAAGAGCAGTGCTTTGCAAAATCTACCACCGGATCGGAAACGCGACCCGCTGAGAAGATCCGGCGAAAAATTCAGTGGGCTGTGTCTGTGGGTTAATTTACAGGCCGAGCCCTTCGTCGCAAACGACGGGTTCGACGAGGACGGTAACCGGTGCTTGTGGTACCTTTTTAGGTACCGTTAATGGTTCCGGAAGATTTTTGTAATTACATTGCTGATGAGAGTTGTTACACAGTGCGTCCTCAAGAGGCAGAATAAATGCACGTAATTTGGTTAGGCTGCTGGTGGATCATAACAGCTTAATTAATTTCATCGGCAGTCTTATTATCATCATATTGTTTTGTATAAAACAACCATTTTCACTTTGTGTTAATAATATTTTAATAATTTAGAAAAATTTATAATAAATAAATTTTACTAGAACACTAATTATTTAGAAAAATCAGTGTTCTAATTGGCTAGTTATTCAATTCTGTGCAGCGATATCGAAACGAATATCTCATAAAACAATCATTGATTGGTCGCGTTAACCTAGAGATTAGTTGTCCCGACTAGTGTCCTAAAAGATTCGGGTTTGTTTCCAAGCCAGGACCAGTCCTTGTTACGGATATTTGGTATTGGGATCTGAGTGTACCTATTTACGTTTCGTCTGTGTTCCCCCAAGTTCTAGTTTAGGGCGACTTAATGAGTCACAAACACATAAAAAAAAATTTACCTTCTCATCAAGAGTTCCATTGAAGTAATCTAGTTCATCATGTACTTCAAGTTCTAGTTTGGGGCCAGTTAATGTGACACAAACACATAAAAAACTCACCTTCTCATCAAGAGTTCCATTGAAGTAATCTACTACATCATGTACTTCAAGTTCTAGTTTGGGGCCATTTACTGTGTCACAAACACATAAAAAAAAACTCACCTTCTCATCAAGAGTTCCATTAAAGTAATCAACTTCATCATGTACTTCTCCAACTCTAGCCTCAATCTCGGCAGCGATGTCCGACCGGTGATATTCGTCGCAGATCCGCCTAATTCTCTCTCGGCTCTCTGACTCTTTACCGATCTGGATTCCTAGTAGGGATACATAGTATTCGGCAGCGTTGAAACCAACTGGACACTTGTAGTTTAACCTGGAGAAAATGCGGTCGATGAAGCTTTAACATATCGAGTGGCATATGGTGCAGATGTTTATAGAATTCGCAAAGTTTGGTAACATTATGTCGCAAAGGTGACATTGTTTTTTATTATACACGCGCAGCAACTAAGGCTTTAATTCCATTGGATGGAGGACTATAGATTTTATGTGGACTGTAAGATAGCCAATTGTCACGCCAATTTATTGTGTATGTGGGTTAACAATTGGAGAAACCACGGGAACCTGGTATTAAGTGGTTAACGAAACCCTAAGACATGAGGCCGAATTCGAAGCCCTACCACTTATAAATGCCGGCTGGTAAGAGCAGTTTCAAAGAACACTGAAGTGCGACGGTGTAAATATTACACGTTTAAAAAATGTGTGGCATACTTTACATTTAAACTAATATTTTAAGAGATACATACACTCTACTTTTTAATTTTACAAATAAATTATCATTTTTAATTATTGTGCGTTTTTTTGCAATATTAAAGTGGTATTTTGATTATGAGCACTATTCATTATGGCATGCGAAGCCCAATTTGTTTTAATTAAAAAAATACTAAGGCGGTATGATCAAATATCATCCGATCTGTAAGTATAAAACTTTCTCGAGCTACGTAAATACCTACGACCTTTTGTCGAGACAAAAAGTCCAGTAGCATCATTCGAACCCACAGATAACTCGAAAATATCGAAATATACAAAGAACCCGAAAATATACAAAGAGTTCCGATTTCAAATTAAAAGAGGCATAAGACGAATAGAGAAATAAACAACTATGAATACATATATATATAAACTGTCCACAATTAATAATCTAACACGTTCCACGTTTGAAAATTAACACATTGCTGATTGAACGCAAAACCTCTAATTAAAATGTAAATGCGATGTATTTTTTCTTGTTTTTTTTTTATCAATCGCGGTCTTTATTTTTCTAGTCGGTTAGCCTAAGATTTTGAACAACTCTCGTGACGAGTATATAAATAAAACTGTATATACGAGTAGTTACGTCAAAAGTTTACCTTAGAGCGAAATCAGATATTTTGTATTAATATTTATTTACACACACACACCATTATCTTCGTGAGAATCTCTTAAATAATAGTGTCAATAGTGTCAATAGTCGCGAAATTTCAAAACAATTCGTAATATTTATTTATTCAACTTTATTAACAAAGGCATTATCTACTAGTCGAGTTTGAAAATATAACTCAATAAATATTATAATATCATAAATTAATTGTTATTTACATACATAAATACACATACAATAGAATAAATTGCATAATATATATGTATTTCTTTTCGGTTTAACTTATAAAAACTTAAGCCACGTTACTAAATAATATCTAATAAAACAGCAAGTATGTCTAAGAGGTGCAAAGAATTTTTAGAACGATGGAGAAGAGAAGGAAGAAAGAATTTAGATGAAGCGAATCTAGAAAGAACGCTCACTATTCCCAACTCTAACGTTCGCGACGAATCTGAGTTCATAGTTTCTTTATTCGCGGGTGCCTCTTATTCTGTAGACTTGAACACCGTGAGCTCACCTACCCGACCGCGTGTAGCTGAAATAGCCATTTAGGCTACCAGCGAATAGTATAGTACCATAATGTAACTATACTGATACCTTAGAACTTATATCTCAAGGTGTGTGGCGCATTTACGTTTGTAGATGTCTATGGGCTCCAGTAACCACTTAACACCAAGTGGGCTATGAGCTCGTCTACACAGCTAAGCAATAAAAATTAAAATAAAAATAAAAAGTTAAGGAAAACAGTAATTGTCTATGACGGAACGCGATTCTTATACAAGAAAGGACCCAGTAACACAATTCAAAACATTCAGTTCTCAATAATACTGTAATGTATTTTTTTTATTGCTTAGATGGGTAGACGAGCTCACAGTCCAACTGGTGTTAAGTGGTAACTAGGGCCCATAGACATCCACAACGTAAATGCGCCATTCACCTTGAGATATAAGTTCTAAGGTCACAAGTATAGTTACAACGGCTGCCCCGCCCTTGAAACCGAAACGCATTACTGCGTTTATTATAGCGTGGCCTTCGCATAACTAATGCGAAGCGAAGTTTAATAATGCTATAATACTAGCAAATCAATTCCGAATAAAATATCAAAGCAAAAAGACAATGTGACAGATGAAACATTATTCTAACACCGCTCAGAGAATTCCTGCATAAACATTAGTCGTATTTAAAAAACCAAAAAATTAAAACTAAGTATTCTTATTTCGTGACTATGTGATTAATTCTAGATTCCTTAGAAACTTTAAATCATCGCCATCGAAAACATTTTGAATAATTAATATGTTTATTTCGTGGTTTTGAAATACATTAGACGATAAGTTGTATAGATATTACAGATGAGGTATTGTAGTCAAGCAATTAAGGAAATGTCGAATGTTTCAAGTGGTCTCTTGGAAGTAAACCTGAAGTTTATTTATAAACTTACAATGGATTTTAGGAGACAGACAAATAAATGTTTTCCCAGTTAGAATTTTATCACATATACATTATAATAAATGCTAAGAACAGTAAAACTAAATTAAAACTGGAGAAGTCCAGAGAACGTTTTAAAGGTAGATAAATATGAAAATGCTCGGAATCATATAAAAATAACAATTTTGTTTTTCCTTTGATGTCCCCCCCATCGGACGAATTCCTTTTGTTTGTTTTAAGTTTATTTTATATAAAAGTTTAGGTCTTTTATTTATCGATTACGCACTACCAAGTCTACCGGGTCAGCTAGTTTAAACTGTGGATGTAAGGTTTAGAGGTTAAGTACTCACGATCCAAAGAACTGGTCCGCTTGTGCAATGGTTCCATGGAAGGCGGTTCGGCCGTTCGCCAAGAACACAATCTGGTGGAACATCTCGAACACTCCTGACGCCGGCTGGTGGACTGAGCATATGACTAGTTTGCCACCGATCGCCAGCTTCCTTAACCTGGACACCACGGCGCTCGCAGCCCAACTGTCCAGCCCCGTTGTTGGCTCATCGCAGAAGAGAATGGGCGGGTCGTTTAGAAGCTAAAGCCATAAATGATTATTTAGTTCCTTTTTTTTTACCTATGCTGCTAGCAATGAGAGGCTATATCAGCGTTACCCTAGCCTGTAGCTGAGCTCACGGGGCTCACACCGGAGGTATTGCTAACACTGGCCCTAGCAAGAGCAGTGCTTCGCTGAATCTACCACCGGATCGGAAACGCGACTCACTGAGAAGATCCAGCGAGAAACTTTGTTTATTTTATTTTTAATGCCCTTGTAGTCAGACGAGCATACGACCCACCTGATGGTGAGTGGCTACCGTCGCCCATGGACTTCAGCAATGCCAGGGGTAGAGCCAAGCGGCTGCCTGCCGTTACCTGAGCCCATAGACATCTACAACGTAAATGCCGCCACCTATCTTGAGATATGAGTTCTAAGGTCTCAGTATAGTAACAGCACCTGCCCCAACCTTCAAATCAAAACGCATTACTGCTTCACGGCAGAAATAGACAGGGTTGTGGTACTTACCCGTCCTACCACCAGTAAAAAGCTAAATAATTGAAGATTTGGTGTATTTTCCAAAATATCATACCTGTACCGCCAAAGCGACCCTCTTCCTTTCGCCTCCAGACAACGCCTTCAGTTTAGTCTTCGTGCAGCTCATAACACCAAGTTCGCCAAGCAGCTGTTCGACTCTTTTGGCTCTCATTATTTTGGTTGACCGTTTGTCCATCATGAGACGCGCCTGTTGGGACCAAAAAATAGAGAAACTTAAGTTTATTGGGAAAAATACCAGCCTCCTGGGTAGAACGGGAAAAAAAAAATTTTTTATTGCTTAGGTGGGTGGACGAGCTCACAGCCCACCTGGTGTTAAGTGGTTACTGGAGTCTATAGACATCTACAACGTAAATGCGCCACCCACCTTGACATATAAGTTCTAAGATCTCAGTATAGTTACAACGGCTGCCCCACTCTTCAAACCGAAACGTATTACTGCTTCACGGCAGAAATGGACAGGGTCGTGTTACCTACTCGTGCGGACTTACAAGAGGTCCTACCACCACCACCTAAATATGTTAATGTGTTTTATGTTTTTTATCTGTGAGTCACGAGTAAAGTGTTCACGAATGCTAACGGTTCGATGCTTGGCAACGTGGATTAAGATATCAATAGCACATTGAGAGCTGAAAATATATTATTGCGTTTGAACTGGTTTATTAACATATAGCGACCCGCTCCGGCTCCGCTCGGGTCTTTAACAAAAATTTCAACGATATTTGACGTTGTTTTATTTTTTTACATAAAATAACACTTATTGCGGCATGACTATAATAGTTAGACATATGCTGTCGCGACACTTTTTGTAAATAATAATTTTTCCTACAAAGTCGTAGTACATCATTTTATTCTATCATCAATAGTTTTCGCAGGGCATGCGATGTAAAGAATATTTTAGGTAATTTTTTTACACTTTGGGTTACATTATTGGAGTTTTAGTAAGGATCCCCAATTTTTTATGAAAAAAAAATTATAGCCTATGTCACTCGGGAATAGTGTAGCTTCCAAACAGTTTCGGAGCCTATTCAATACAAACAAACAAACAAACAAATATTTCCTCTTTATAATATTAAGTATAGATGAAACATAATTTCTCATCGCTTTTAATTGTTATATGTATAATCTGCTTCGCTACTGAAAGAGATTTAAAAAAAAACAAGCAGTGTTGTTTGTGCATATTTCTTCTGTAGCTATCTTTGTCATGTTACTACTTATTGTCTTGTCAATAAGCAAGAATAGCTCAACAGTCAGTCTTAGTAAAATCTCCAAATAAAACACTCATTGAAGGTCCGTCGACAAGGGATAATAAAGTTGAGACACACGCTCGGAGTTGTATTGAAGTATCCTATGCTATTTTTAAGTTGATTTAGCAAAAATGACAGTATCCTGCTGTTTGTTTGCCAATCAGTTTCATACACTTCACATAATTTTTAAAGTTCGATTTACAAAAAAAAAAACATTTACGGTTTGTTCGCGAGTTTTTTTTTTAGTTAACAACTTACAGTCGTTCGTTCTCGTCACGAAAATCGTAACATATTCGTAACATCGGAAATAGTAAAATTTATTAAGTAGATTTGAGACCAAAACGTAAATGTTTTTGAAAATGTCATTCATCATCATCATCATCAGCCTGCGGCAGTCTACTGCTGGACAAAGGCCTCCCCCAAAGCTCGCCACTGAACCTGATCTTCGGTTCTACGGATCCAGTCATTGTCAGCTGCCTTACGCAGGTCGTCGCTCTATCTAGCAGGAGGGCGTCCTACACTACGTTTGCCGGTTCCCGGTCTCCAGTCCAGAACACGTCTACACCAACGGTTATCGGTTCTGCGACAAATGTGACCAGCCCACTGCCACTTCAGCTTGCTGACTCTGCGAGCTATATTGATCACCTTGGTTTTTGCCCGAATGACTTCATTACGTATTCGGTTTCGCAATGACAAACCAAGCATAGCTCGCTTCATTGACCCCCGAAAATTTCTGAAAATTCCTTGGGGCTACAAATGGTAAGTCTTAAAGTCTGTTTAGCGATTTCATTTGTAACCTGCATGGGTATTGTCAAAAGACATCGTGTTTCTTCATAATAACTCCGATCGTGACACTAATCAGTCAAATTTAATTTTAATTTTATATTTATAAGCAATATTATATACATAGAGGTAAACAGGTGGGCGTAAATAAGCATTCTTAAAAACTTGTTTAATGTTATGTTAATGTTAACTAGATGCATAACCGAAATGTCAGTTAAATATTGACTTGAATTGGCCACGAAATAGTTTTCGAATAGAATGGAATTGAACGAATTGAATTGAATTTAAATGAATTGTTTATGGGCAACGAGCTACTTTAGACTAAAGTATAAACCTGGATCATTCTTATTTCTTTACATAATTAGGTTTTCATTTTTCTTATATTTATGTTTATTAGCTTATTCTCCACAGGATGTTCAAGTCACACCGAACATAATATGTTACAATGTCTCATAAAATGAAGTATAATTCAGATAAATCCGTGTTTCAGAGATTAATGTTAAGGCCGCTGCATACGTGACGGGTTTTTGTACGGACGGGACGGGACGGAAAGTTTTGCAAACATCGTTTCATACAAAATCTATATGAAAGAGCATATTTCACGGAGACACGGACGGGACGAGTACGTGGCACTCACGTCCCTCCCGTGTTTCCGCTACGTATGCACAGTCACTCCGTTCGTTCCGGAGAGAGAACTAGTGACGTCTTGATACGCAAGTGTCGAAAATGGATGACGAAAAACTAATCAAGTGTGTACGGTCAAATCCAGCATTATATAATTTAATTATATAATAATATATAATTATAATAATATATAATTCTATTCTGCCATGTAGGATGTACAGAAAATCTCCTCTCTTTTCTTGTTCACGGTCGTAGCTACTTCGTCATCTAGAGCAATAGCAATTAAAGCTAATTCTTGACACGAAAAATCCATTTTTCCTTGTTCACAACACTAGCACCTTAGATCCGAGTCACCGTCACAGTGCGTATGCATTTACATCACGTTCCCGTTTTGAACGAGGCAGTCACGTCCCCGTTCCGTTCACGTCCCGTCCGTATAAAAACCCGTCACGTATGCAGCGGCCTTAAGATTCCATTTTGTAAAAAGGATGCAAGATAGCTCTCTCCCTTTCATTGAAAGAATCTTACTTCACACATCACTTTTTTATATTCAATGAAATCAAATTATAAACGAAGTTAAATTCATATTCTTAAACTAACCAAGACGTTTCAGTGTTACGATCAATTAATTATTTGAATTATAATTAAATGAGGATCAAACAGATTTGTGAAAATTTACTCAAAAGTCGATATTACAAAATTCGAATTCAAATTTTGGTGCTTAATACCTGTACTTTCTAATTTTAGTGTTAATTAATTAAAGTAAAATAAGATATGTTACTAAAAATTTGGTGGTCAGCAATATTGTGTTTTCGCACGATTAGCTACCACCACCTTCTGTGACTATTTTTAACATAGTGTAAATCTTAGATTCCTGCAATCAGCTTAGAGGGCAGGACAGGCGTTGTACCAGCAATAAAATTGGGCTACAATCCTGTCTCAAGGTGCACATCACTGTTGAAGCTGTGATCTCTACAGAGGTTGGATGATCTGAAGCTCGTTTTACGACACCCAGTGGTCTGGTATGAAGGAAGGTATTCCTCAGGAAGATTTCGATTTCATCTCGTCGCGGATAATTGAAAAGCAAAAGTGTTATTAATTTTTCTTTTTATTTTGTTTTATTAGCCATAGTTATATTTGCTAACGTAAATGGTAGAGATAGATACGCATGTTGTATATATGTTATGCTTTGCGAAAAACCCACGCATTATTTTCGTTATCTGATAATATAATATGCCTATAAAGTTTTGACACTATTATATCGTTATAAATACTATTAACTTAAGTACTAAAATTTACATATAAATAGTAGATTTAAGCGGTCTCACATAGCTTAAATTGACTTAAGTCATTTAAAAAAATTCAAATGTAATAATAAAAAAATAAAAAATAAAAAAAATGTGTTTTTGCAGAATTTACTTTGAACTTGATAAGTATGTATGCTAAAGGACGTCATAAAAATTGAAATAAATGGTTTTGAATTTGCAAAATTGTTCAACTTGCATGAACATCAAAGTTGGATTATATCTTACGACTTTTCGTTTTTAATTTTCCGAAAAAAATTGACAACAGAAAAAAAAATAACCATATTTAAATTTTATTTTATTTATTGCATTGTGAGAATATAATGTGAAATTAAAACATTAGGAGAACACTAACAAGGTTCCTTTGAATTATAATGATCATAGATTTAGAAAACATATTTGTCACGGCCTGTCCTAAGCCTTTTCTGCCTATATTATAATATTTAAAACGGCTTTTGAGCCAGATTAAACCACAAAAAGTGATTTTTAATTATGTTTACGACTCGCAAAAACCAAAGATAATAATACCACATTGTATATAATATTATAAGGATTATCCGTTCCATGAAATGTGAACTGTGATTTATAGTAGCAGTTTATTTTAACGACACGGTCGTTTCGTGATTTCACGAAAATCTAACAAGTTGCGAGTGTTGTGATCATTTCATATTGGGGCCTTGTTCAATATGCGATATTTTTTTTAATCTACATCATTTTCGCTACTCTTAAACGTCAAACGTCAAAATTTTAAAATGTCAAAATTTTACAGATAATAAATGCTTTCGATACGAAGCCCGCTTTAAAAAACAGAGTATTATATACACTTGACATTGGCGAAATCTAAAAGGAAACTCTATTAACCCAAGAGATAGATAGATAGTTATTATCATCAACGTGATAAGTTTAGGAAAGGAAACAATCAAAGCATTTTTCATTTATCTGCAACCCCGATTTCTCATTGGTGGTAGGACGTCTTGTAAGTCCGCACGGGTAGGTACTACCACCCTGCCTATTTCTGTCGTAAAGCAGTAATGCGCTTCGGTTTTAAGGGCGTGGCAGCCGTTTTACTGCTAAAAACTGAGACCTTACAACTCAAGGTAGGTGGCGCATTTACGTTGTAGATGTCTATGGGCTCCGGTAACCACTTAACAACACCAGGTGGGCCGTGAGCTCGTCCACCCATCTAAGCAATAAATAAAAAGATTTACGAGAGAAACTACTCGATTATTTAT